CGTATAAACTTGCGAGGAACTTAGTTATCAAAACTATCAGTATGTGTGGGATATTGTATTAATCACTCTAAGAGGTGTAAGGGTTGAAAGTGGAATTTTTCCCTCGATCATATGAGCAGGATCACGATGCCAATGGATTTTACTAAGCTTTGCTTCCCATAAGGTCTCCCAATCGAACGTTGACTACGGAATTGACCTCGTATGCTCTGATTATCTGAACTCGAAGCCTGGTCGTACAGATCACTCCTCAGTTTCTAGACCACTTTATTCCAGCTAGACTAATTAAATTCCTATTGTAAGGGTTTGAACTCGTTTTGCAACTTGGTCGGAGCGTCAGGGAGACCTTGTGAAAAATACCTAACCCTCTGTCCTCGGTCATAGTATTAATGACTTCCAGCATCGGATCATCGAGTTAGTACATACAAGCGTTTCGCCGGCATCTTCAGTGAGAGGTGCCATTGTCAGACAAGTGTTAGAACTTATAAAAATGGCAAATGAACGCAACCCCTTTGACCGATTTCTGCTCCACGGCGGTGGAATCACTCCTAGCCCCTATTTTTTGTTCTACCTTCTAGTGCTGCATCTCTTTCTCTCAACCCCACTTCATATGGCCCATCTACCTACTCACACAATTCTGTGCTCTCGTTTCTTCCAATGTCGCCTAAACGGGCGTCGCTACAAGTCGGTTTATGGAAGCGTAATCATCTCCACCACCGGTACCAGGCCCAGTTTGCAGGGCTCCTGACCTACAATCTGCCCCCTATTTTTTCCTACCCCCTTGACAATTGGCCACTGACAAACATCAAAAAACGGTTTGGCTGTCTGAAATCTGGCTGCCTAAGAACCTTCAAGTGCCGTCCCTGATTACGCCATATTCGTGGATGTAGAGCAGACGGCGCCCATGCCAGTGTCTATGCCAATGCCTGGAAATCCTCCACTCCTTGGGCTTTAAACCCACGACTCGGTTATCCTCTTCTTCATTCCTACCCAAATTATGTATCATTCTTTGGGGCCCTGTGTCTGACTTAAGCCAACAGCGCTGATGTGGAAATGTACCGCTTCCCTCTTTTCCCTCCTGACTCCTCTCCTACTTCAAGTTGTCACTCCTATCCAATCCTATGGTACTAAGATGTTCCGATGCTGGAAATAACGAATACTATGACGAAGGACACAGGAACAGGTACTTTCCACAAGGTCTCACTGACGGTCCGACCAAATTGCGAAAACGATTTCGAACCAGCACTATAAAACTACAGAAGACTGTGACCAAACAGAAGGCCATATCATCTTAGTCTTCATGTCTACGATCTAAATTCTTGTTATTTATAACTATTTAGACGATGGTTTATTTACTTTCATATTATGTTCACTTATATGTTAGACTGCGAAATAAAAGGATGAATTTGAAAAATCGGTATTAGTCGACTGCATGAATAATGCTCAAAATGGATATTCGAAATAAGTGATAAAATATCTTCGGGTTTTCTAACCATTTCATTGTTAAAAATCCAACTAACGGTTTTTATATTGTTTGAAAAGATCTAATGATGCTTAAAGTTATTAATCATCTGGCAAAATCTTTGAAAAACACTTCAACAAGTATGGAAAAGAATCGAAATACTTATTATGGTCACATAACTTGCGCATTGGGTGCATAAGTCCAATCAAATTAAATAGACTAGGATGAATTTAGTCATTTCTTTTTTACCTTTCCTCTGTAGATGTCTCCGAAGCAGGAGATCAACAGGACCTAGTAAACACACAAGGAGCACAAGCGAACACCCAAGAGTCTGTGAGGAGAGCAAACTTCCCACTGCCTCCATCATTTACAGAAGAAACGACAACGGTCTGACCAGCAAGGCACTTGTTGATGAGATAGATATGCTGCCTAGGACCCATTCCGACTTCGCCCCTTCTACAAAGTCGTCGGTCTCTTCGGCACAGGCAAGACAACCAAATCCTTCCTGGGATCTTGATACTAAGGCCACGGGTATTCAGAGTGACCCTAGTTTGGACCGAGCCGGATGGGCAATGGCTTGGCAGTGCAGAGCAATGGCTGAGTTCGATCACCAACTGTCAGATGCAGACTGCTCCAGATGCAAATGCATTCCGAATCAGCCGACAGAGACCAGTCTACTTAACTATAGACCAAGAGAAGAGGCTTCCCTTTCTGGAGCACGAGCAAAAAGTTGCGAGGCGCCAAACAACAATTTCAATAAAACCAGTGCAAAGGTATGAGCAGGAAATCAAAGTTTTCAAGGCATAGTAAGTTTCGAGCGAGCCAGTCTCGTGATCTTGAAGCCGAAATGTGGTATATTGGTAATCCCT